GGGGGTGGCCGACGCGGACGCCACCAAAACCAACACCAGCACCAGCATCAACAACAACACCACAACCAGCACCACAAACAGGATCACGCGCGACGCGTGCGTGCACATCATGCTCAGGTGCGAGCAGGAGCGGGGGCGGGTGCGGGGACGAGGAGGACGAGGACGGGGAGCGGGCAAAGGCGACGGATTCCAGGGGGTTGTCGGCGCCGAGCATGCAGAGCGGGGGGAGCCTGGAGGAGCTGCTGGCCGAGATTGGCGGGGACGGGACGCAGGGGGTGATTCGCGCAGACTAGTTTGGCGGCGGGCAGTGCACGCCGGTGAGCATGACGTCGTCGGGGATGGACGGGGGCGGCGGTGTCAGCGACGGAGGCCAGGCGCGGGGGCCGCGAGTGGTGGACGCGTGGCAGGGGCCGACCGGAGCCGGCGTCGGCCAGCGGGCGGCGTTCGAGGCGAGCGGCGTGTCGACCGAGACTAGCACCATCCACTTCGAGAGGAAGGGCTCGCCCACCAAGCGGCAGCGCGGCGGCGACGCGTAGGACGGCAGCCGCGAGCGCACATCGTACGCGGAGAACGCGGGGTCGGGCGTGAGCGGCGGGGGCGGCGGCGACGAGGCGACGGACGCGGGGCGCGGGCCCGTCGCGGGCGGGGACGTGCGCGGAAACGGAGGAAGTCCACGAGATCCTGCGGCGGATCAAGGACGAGGAGCGGCGCGAGCGCAACCGGATCTCGGCACGGCGCAGCAACTGCAAGAAGAAGGAGCGCGGCGTGGCGCTGGAGCGCCAGCTCGGCCGCATGCGTACGCTCAAACAGCAGCTGCAGGCGCGCAAGGGCCAGCTGCGCGCTGAGAACGACGCCCTGCCCGGCGGCCTGGCCCGCGCGCTGCAGATAAGCTTAACTCTTCGTCGAGAAGCGGTGAGGAGAGGTTAGAGAAGTTATTTGATTTGTTTGCCAGGGGCGTCACAGATCTGAAGCGTGGTGGTGGAACCAAATAGTGAACGTTGTAAAAATATAGAGAAGCAGACTTTTTATGGGGGCTCGCCGAGTTGATGTAGATAGAGTGGGTAGATATTGTTAGTGTTTCGCAAAAATAAGTCACCCTATGTTTCCAACTGAGAAACACATGAATCTCAGAATTGGTCCAATGTCGCCCTATAGAAACAGATAAAGTTCGGCATGTTTCAACATGCCGCTTCTTCGGAAAATATCACCCTCACAATTGAATGAAAGTGACACGTCACCCTTCAATACTACCTGATCGTGAGTAGTCGCCCTCAAAACACCCTGGGTCTAAAAATACACCCCTCAGGAGGGTCAAAAGCCGCACCTGTCACCCCGAGATTCACAAATGACCCTCTGAGTAATGAAGGATCAGTTGAGAAACTCAAGTCGCAAGATCCTATCTCGAACTGTTAATTTGATAAATGTGCACTGTACTATTTAACCTCGTACGGTGTGCAGCTCTGTACAAATTTGAGATTTGTGTGTGCACAATAGGCCAAAGCGATTGAATCCTGGGTCGTTTGTGTACACAAAAAAAAATATTTTGTGTTTTCAGGTTTGACCCAGTATTAAAATGGTTACACTAAATTCCGTAACTGGGTGTACAGTGGGCGACTCCTGAAATTCTAAAATCGCAAATTGTGTTGACCAAATCGGGATTTTGTGACACACAAACGGCGCGTTGTTCACACACAACGCGCCGTTTTCTCGGACGGGCGACCCCATGCTAGGTTAAATGTGTATCGCAAAAATGTCAAAATGTGCGCGCGTACAATCCAAATTTACTGTACACAGAGAAAGCGTCGGCCGCCGCCCGACCGACGAGACTCGACATCTACAGTGCGCGAAACTGCAATAAATACACCCATCGAGGCACACATGAATAACACTTCCCAACCCCCTTTTAAAGAATCGTGTGTTGTACAGTACCATGGCCAAGCAGTAGAAACGCATGTGAAGACCAATTGACCTCCAAGAATACCGTTCTCAAGCTAGACCTCTAAAACCGCGCGAAATTGGCATAAATACGCGAAATTCCATATAGCACAGTACCTTGAAGGCGCCAAAACATGAGCACAATGCACTATATAACGCTTTCAACAGTAGCAACTCGGCTTGTAAGAGTAGCTTGTGCAACTGCCGGTGATCTTCCCAACTATTACGACAGGTACTATGCCCCGCGGGCCTGCTATTACCGACATTGAGCGCGGCCAGATATTGGCGCTTCATGCAGAATGTGTATCATTTAGAGGCATTGCTGGCATTGTAAATCGTTCCGTTGGTGCTGTACAAGGTGTGGTTCGTCAAGGTTTTAAACATAAACACACAAGGCAGTGGAAGGGAAACAAAAAAATATCTGAGACACAGAGACGGGCAATCATCCGAATGGCCCTAAAGGGAGAAGAAAGTGCGAGAACGATACAGGCTGAGCTCAAACTACCCATTGGCCATAGACGTGTTCAGCAAATACTCAGCGCCGTACCCTACTTAAAGTATAAAAAAATGATAACGGCACCACAAATGACCCCTCTACACAAAGAAAATCGGGTGAAATGGTGCCGTAAGTTCATAAGCAAGGGTGAGGAATTTTGGAATTCTGTGGTGTTTAGCGATGAAAAGAAGTTCAACGGTGATGGCCCTGATGGCTTGGCATCCTACTGGCATGATTTACGCTCTAAAGAGCGCATGTTTTCCAAAAGACAAAATGGTGGGTTTTCGGTCATGGTTTGGGGAGCCATTAGTCTTTATGGAGTATCTCCGCTCATCTTTATGGACGGCAGACAAGATTCTATCAAGTATGTTGATGTTCTACGTCGTGGTTTGCTGCCGTTCGCGTCGGAGGTATTTGGTGAAGCGCAGCGTTGGTTTTATCAACAAGATAACGCACCGATTCATACGTCGCGTTTTACAAGGAGCTGGCTATCTGAGCACTCCATTTCTACCCTACCGTGGCCCCCGAAGTCCCCAGACATTAACATTATTGAGAATGTCTGGGGTGTGATGGCTAGGATGGTTTATGCCAGAGGTAAGCATTACCAGAATGTCGAAGATTTGAAGGTGGCTATCGAGGAAGCTTGGTCTACAGTAGGTTCTGAGCTTTTATTGACGCTTTACAAGAGTCTACCGCGTCGTATGCATGCGGTTATGGACGCGCGTGGTGGCGCAACAAAGTATTAAAGACGTGTTTCTGTTTTGTGTCATATCAAATTTCGCGTATTTATATCAATTTCGTGTAGTTTTTTAAACATAGATCGACAACCGTGCTTGGTATGGTGGTTTGGAACTGACAGGTGTTAATATCGGCGAGTGCTTGCCCTGCATACGTGGCAACTTCGAGCAGACCCCACAAGAAGTGCTAGAATGTTTCTCGTCGATGGTGTATTTATTGCAGTTTCGCGCACTGTACATCCTACCGAGCATGGCTCTGAATGAGAAGTAGCAATAGAATAGCCATTTGGTCATTCATGGTTCTGACGGTGGCTGCTCGGTGAAAACACCATCATGATTGAGCCAAGCTCACAGCACACACTGTAGATAGAGCTCCGACGGCGTCATCGCCGGCGTCCGGTGCCGTGCTCGTCGTTAGGAACGACCCTGACACACCGTGCTCGTCGTTAGGAACGAGTTCAAAGCATGCGTACAGTAGGGGGACGCACATTATGTGCGCAAGCATTTCCGTGGTAAAACTCATTTTTTGTTCACAAAAAAGAAAAATATGACTCTGACACAAAAAATAATTTCCGGAGGCGCCTCCGGAAATTATTTTTTGTTGCACGGTATGTTTAGATGCTGCCGAGCTCCGACGTGTACTATATATGAAGCGTGTCGTGATGTGGATCACGACATGTGGCTAAAAGTGTGAGGAACTACCTTTTCCTCCTGTGAAGTGGCCACAGCCACTTGCCTGAGTGGAGTCTGACGGCAGCAAGTCGCCCATACGCTCTGACACACCATCTATGAAGAACGAAAGCTGTTTTTGGCAGGATGATCTTGTCGCGGCAGCTTCCTAAAAACTCCACTGTATCTATGCATCGTGGTAGGTAGGAACCGCGATCCTCTGAGAAAATTCTTTCGCAGGACGATTCGATCTCGAGTACGGTGGAGGCGTGGGCGAATGTCTCCAACATATCAACCGCCGTAATGACGAGGCTGTATCCCGGGCCAGGCTTCTCCGTCAGTAAACGGCGAGCCGGTGTTTTCGACGTGTGAATGAGCGACGAGGCGGGCGTCGGGGCGCCGGCGTCCCGCTTCGTAATGTTGCTGGCGGCGGGACGGGAATCAAATACGTGCCTGTCGCGACGTGGCCTCGAGTAAGTAGTGTGCGGATCCTCTCACTGCCGGGTCGAGCGCGTGCGGCAGTGCCATGTGATAGGCTGTGCTATGCGAAAGATTTGGAATAAACAGTCGGGGCGGCTCGAGGTTTTCCGCACCTCAGGCTCGAGACGGCCCTGCCTGAGGCGGGCCTGAAACGGGCCTGAATTGGGCCAAAGCCGCCCTGCAAAGCGGGAGGCGGCCGAACCGGCGCGGCATCCCGCAGCGGCCTTGTGGCCCCGGCCACCCATTGTGTCGCCGGTTGTGTCGCCGGCCGCCCCCGGCCTCGCCCGTTGCGGACAGCGCACACGTCAACCGGACTCAACCGCGCCAGTTTGTGCCGCACATCCAACCGCACGCGGCCAAGTGTGCCAACAACCGCGCGTCGTCGCCCCCGCGATCCGCGCTTTCCGCAGGCCCCATTGGCCCTCATCTGCGTTTGGAATCCTTCCCGATGCCTGGACCTGCCCCCTGTCTGCATCATCTAGAGACTTCACATTAACCACATTCACTGTCTCTTGCGCCATCCGCCACTGCTGATATATTTCTACTTTTCCTTCACCCCGCCATCAGCCTACCAACTCCATCCCCCGCTTGCTGATCTCCCGCAGCTTCCCGCCGTCATTCCGCAGTTGCGCCCACACTTTTCGTCTCTGTTCCACCGTCTCCCTCGCGTAGCCATGATCAAGATGTCCACCCCCGCGCAGAAGTCCAGCCCATCCACTGTGAAGCCCGCCGCGCCCGCGGACCCGAAGCCGACCAAGCCGGTAACAAAGACGAAGGCGCAGGCGCAGGCGCAGGCGCCGGCGCAGACGCAGAAGCCCACGGTTGGTGACAAGCCTGTCGCCGTGCGCGAGGCCGCCGCCGACCTGGACAAGCGCGTCCTCACCGAGAAAAAGAACCAGGAGCAGGCGTCGCCCGTCGCCGCCAAAGGCTCCAAGGAGGCTGCTGCGCCCAAGGAGGAGGCCGAGGGCACCGAGAACGAGAAGGCCGCGGCGAATGTCGCCCCGAAGGAGATGCCAGAGGGTGCCAAGGGTGGGGAGAAGGACGTGACCTTTTCGTGGTCCGCCTCAGATGCCTCTTCGGTCAAGGTGACGGGGAGCTTCGCTGAGTGGCAGGATACGATGGCACTGGAGAAGAGGGACGGCAAGTGGACGTTAGTGAAGAAGCTCACCCCAGGCACCTATGAGTATAAGTTCATTGTCGATGGCAACTGGTGGTATGACATCACCCTTCCCACTGCTACTGACTGTGATGGCAATGTCAACAACGTCATCACAGTTTGAGAGGGTAGTGCCATCGAGAGCGTCGACTGGCACTATGATTTGTTTCGTTTCCTAGGGCATGCCGTTTCCCAAGTTGCATTCCGCTTGTAATATAGCCTGTGCCTACATACTGTACCCTTTCGTCATTCTCCTGTATCTCTCCCTTGCGCTGAACACTGTTATGTTGTCGTTTGAGCTACCTTGTCTTTCCAGTTAGACTGCATTTCCGAAACAATTCATCGCTCTGCCAGTAAACTCTTCATTTCTTCTCTCACTTAGCTCGTTGCAACTCATCTGCGCTCCATCTCGCCTATTCATTCTCATAAAAAACCCCACACTTTTATTTACACGGTCATGTCAAAAAAAAAAAAAAAACCCAATACTCCCCCTCTAGTTGTAGATTTCAGCTTGCATTCCCTTGATCTGTGTCAGTGCATACTCTGCTCCTGCTCGAAAAACGTCACTGTCTCACAGTACGTCCCAAATTGTCAAGAAACCACAACGTTAGAACGGTGAAAGTCAGCGGCCCGTTCGCGCTTTGCTTGTCGCATGAGGCCAGAAAAAGGATAACTGGTGAGCATCAACTTACGGTGGAGTGCCATGGCCATGTTTTCCAACACTGCGAGCCGCAAAGAAGCATAATAGCATTCATCAATAAAATAAAACATGTTCCAAACTCGTCAGACCACAAGATCGATGAACAACCCCAACACGGTTATAGGTTACCCCATAAACAGCTCGCAACATCTGCAAAAATGGGACAAGAAAGCAAAAGACTTACCTGCAATACATGACAAATTCATGAGGCGGGGACCGCATGCCTTTGTGCATGACGGCTCTTTCTGCCAGCAAATGCACAAAGTCAAATGCCTTCCTCGTACCGACCCTGGTATCAAAATTGCCCATATAAAACCTGACCGGCATTGCCACCATCTTCTCCACAACGTCCTCTTGCAATAAGCTGGCGCTTTGAATCTTAGCCCTCGCCCTCTCATTGGGCACGGCGGCGTCCGCAAACTCGTCTAGATCCGCGAGCACAGTGACAGGTGCAAAGCCTAGACACGAGCGCACATTCGGATTCCGCGCGGCCAGCAGGCCGGCCAGCAAGCCACCGCGACTGAGCCCCGCGGCGACGACTTGCCTCGGGGCGATGGCGCCGGTAGCGACAAGGTCGTCGACGACGTGTGACGCCTTGCGCACGAAGTTGGCGACGGGGTCGCCGCCCGTGGCGTACAGCTCGGCCCAGCGGCGAAACGCGTCCTCGTTGACGGCCATGTCGTCGGCGTGGAAGGGGAGGGTGACGGAGAAGACGCGGCACTGCGTGCCGTCGGAGAGGGCCTGCACGTCGGACGTAAGCTGGTTGAAGGGCGGCAGCTGCAGCGACTGGGATGCGGAGAGGGCGAGGTACACCACGGCCGGGAGCGGGCCCGCGGAAAGGGGGGGGCCTGCGAAGCGCCAATCCGGATGGCCCGGCACGGGGAAGGTGCGCACGAGGGGCGCGTCGCAAGGCGCCGCGGCCCCCGGCGGCGCAGGAGTGAGGAGCGTGCATCGGGTGGTCGTGCGCGTGCGGTGGGGCGAATGTGGAATTGTGCGGCGGGAGGGAAGCGCCGGTGCGCGGGGACGCGCGGCTGGGAAGGCGGGGAGGAAGGCTGGGGGGGTCATGGCGGGGGGGAGGGCGGGGACGGGGAAGGCGGAGACGGGGAAGGGGAAGGGGAAGAGGGAAGTAAGGGACGGGTGAGAAGACGGTGAGAAGACGGTTCGGGTTGTTTTGGAGGGGGGAGGCAGAAGTGGCGGCAATACGATGCAATGAGCCGTGGAAATGAGCAATGGATCGGTGCGGCGGTTGGGGAGTGGGGAGAAAAAGGATTGGTGGGGATTGCACGAGAGGATGATTGTGGGCAGTCGTTTGCTGCAGAGCGTGACAAGTGTTGAAAATGTGTTGGATGTTCTAAAGGATTTACGGTCAAAAGATCTCAAGCCAGAACCAACTACAGTATCTACTTCCTCTATCATAACCTTGCGGTCTTTTATCTGCTGTAAATCGCGGCGAATACTGTAATGTCACTTGCTATACTGTAATGTCATTTGCTATGATGTCGTCTGCAAACTTGCAAACTTGCCACCACGTGTTCTACGAAACGGTAATCTGGCCTCAGAGGTTTGCGTGAAACAGCAATGTACTCGAGTACCGCACTTCAGCTATTAGAGCGAGAGGGCGCACTGCAATGCTTTTTGTGATAAAAAAATAGATCCCCTTCACGCTTCCGAATGGGACGTTTCTCTTCCAAGTTCCGCCCAATGGCCGTTTGCGGGTCACCTCGGATAAACCTTAGACGCGGTTATCGCAACCTTTTGGAATCTGCTCCTCCCAAGTCGAAGCGAAGCGTGCAATCCCCGTTCTCACTTCTTGTCCCCCTTCCTTGCGACCCGTCATGGCTCCTCGGAGTGACGCTCCTGACGAAACCTTCCTGCCCTTCAACTTCAGCTCCATCCTTTCCTTCGATTCCGTCGCCGCCGCCTTGTCGGAGCTGCCCACCCCGCGCATCCAGGAACCCCACACCCCAGATGCCGTCTTCCTCAACACTGACCTGCACTGTCATCCCCCCGACGAAGCAATGGAGCAGCATCTCCTGGAGCTGCTCGTCCAGACAGCCCAAGACAGGTAAGCCCCTCGCCTTCAGTTTTCGCCTTCAGTTTTCGCCTTCAGTTTTCGCCTTCAGTTTTCGCCTTCAGTTTCCACCTGCAGCTGTCACTTCTGGAGACAAGACCTATGTACAGGAAATCCCCTGGCCCATTTTCTGACAGCCACTTTGCTTTTCTTGAGTTTCTTTTCCTTTCGCTTTCAATTCTGCTCTGTTTTCTCCAAACGAAAGCAACTGGGACCTAGATTCTGCTGACGATGCCCGCGCCGCCCTCTCCTCTCTTTCCGGTCCTCATGCTTCGCCTTGGGAAGCCCGCCTTTATCGTCACGTACTGCGCGAATTGAACCAATCTCGTCGACACCACAGAGTCTCTCGACCCCTGTCTACCTCGGCAAGGAAGCCCCCCAAGCGACCTCGGCGCGACCCTGTCCCGCTCCCGGCCCCGCTTAATGCTCACGGGTACCACAGGAAAACCGCGTCTCCAGTCAACATGCGAACCGAACCTCACACTGATCTCAGAACCGTACAACCCGACTTGAACCACGTCCATGCTGCTCCGTCTTCTGCGTCTCCACACCACTCCGAATCACTTGCAAAGCCTCACCGGCCCGATGGAGACACCCACTTGCGCGAATTGCGCTTGCAACAAGAGTCCAACGTCGTGGACACTGATCAATTCACATACTTTACTAATTTACTCAACCGTTTTATCTCTAAGGCCCGTTCTCTTGCGGCCACCCTCAATAACCGCCGCCACGGAAACCTACAAGTTACTTCCAACTTCAGTTACCTCACTGAGCTGCGACAGAACATCGTCCTGCATGCGGAACAAGGCGCTATTGCCCGAGCCCATCCACACCTGCTCGCCGAAACCTTATCCGTTTTGGACACACGCATATGGGAATCGTGCAAGCAATGCCGCCCAACATCTGACAGTCCTCGACCTTCTTCCGACCATCTCTCAGCAATCCGTTTGGGTTTCCTTGCCTCATCCATTGTCCTGTCGGTCCTCTGCGCCCCGGACGCCCCTCGTTCCTTGTTTGTTGAAGAGCGTCTGGAGAAGATCGCCGCTCTCTTGGAGGAGGTCTCATCCTCGGTTATTTATCCCAATGCCGACCCGCTGTATAGAACTTTGAAGATGGGCACTAGACGCAAGTCTACGTCCAAGTCACAGTCGAGTCCCACTCGAGCCTTCTCTTCCTTCTCGGGAAAGGCGAGCCGCACGTTGCTGGAGTCTTGTTGTTCGTTGTATGACGGTATTACCACTTTGTTCACCAACGAGTCACATTTACCGGAATCTTTTGCGTCCCGTTGTGCGACGTCGTGCATATCCTCATTCTCCATAGCCAATATTGCTCGGCTTCACGTGCATTCCATGCGAACTCTATGCGCTATTTTTGCCAGTGACAATGACCAAGTACGCAGATTGTGGATTCTCGATACAGTTGTCTCCGATGTGGCTACCAAAATGCCACCGGATCGGAGGCAATTGCGTCGTTTTCAGGCGCCAGGAGCGGGGAACGAAGTGCGTGTGTCATCGGCCCTAATCGCCGAGCTTCTTTGCTTGGCAAGCTATGAAAATGAAAAGCAAAGCCACTTGCAGAAAGCCGATGACGCCGCAAAGGACCCCTCTTCGGCCTCTTGGTCTGCTCGGCGGAGAAGAGAATATGATCGCGCAGCGCAATATTCTGTTCGAGTGTGGGAATCCTTTTTCAAACGCTCTCTCGAGAAAGAGGTGGAGACACGGTCCGCCTTCCACATTTTGTTAGAAGACATTCTGGTGCTGTATGGCCGCCCAGAGTGGCCATCAACAGAGTTAATGTTGCAGACTCTATCTGTATCTCTCATCTCAAGGATGAGGGCGGAAAAAGAAAAAAGTGCACTTTTGCGTGCATTCTCTATTGAAGTACTGGGAACACTCGCGACAAGGATGTGCGTTCTCTACGGCGACGAAGTCGTTCAAACAGTCCCGGAAACACAACTGCAAAGTGACAATGAGTCTCTTGAGGGAGAGCGTGAAAAGGTGTTGATGTTCTTGGATCCATCTCGTTCGTTGCTCTTCAAGGCAGGGAGTTCTTTTTATGACTCATTGTTTGCTGCTGACGACCTTGCTCTTGCAAAGAGCCAGCGGGAAAACTCGAACCCCGCCTCTTCTCATAATTACGAAAGTCCCGGGTCTGACTCTGAAGACGATGGAACACCAGCTGTCGTAGTGAAGCAAAGTATGGAAGATATTGAGGCCGGGGCATTGGAAAGGATAAACAACGTAGAACGTCGCAGGGCTCGGCGTGAAGAGGTCCGTGAGCAAGAGGCAATTGCGGCGGCAAAATCCATCGGAATCAAGCGATGTTTTGCGAAGGGATTTCGAACTCTTCTAGATGCGATTTTGGATGGGATGCAAGATCATGCTCCGTCTGTGCGTGCGAAATCCATTAGAGCGCTCTCTCTGGTGGATGAGGCCTGCGATGGCATTCTGCGTGTTCTTCCAGACATCATCGTTTCCATCGAAGCTAGCTGCAAAGACGTATCAACTCTAGCCCGAGATGCAGCGCTTGATCTGCTGAGTAGATCACTTCTTAGGAACGTTTCTGCCGGGGATGACGATGAAAGCATGCACAAAGTGGACGTGGGGCAAGCACTGATGGATCAAACCACGCCTAGGCGCGTTTTTTCCATTGTCAAGGAACGGTTGAGAGATACATCGACATCAGTCAGGAAAAGAGCGGTATCAATCATGAAAGCAGTTCTGGCAGATGCACTAGAGCGGTCAGAGAGATCTCTGCTGGGGCAAGCAAAGTCAGTGGATGTGTCTGAAGGAGCAAGACGAATGGAAAGCAGGATTGTTGATATATGCATTTGCTTAGTTCCTCGGTTAGACGATTCTGAAGCTTCAGTCCGCGAAGCTTCCGAGCGCACTCTACGATTAGGACTATTCGGTTTCGACGTTTTTCGCCAGACAAAATTAGACAGTTATCCAGATGCGCAAGCCGTCGCTCAAGTTGTGGAGCGATTGCAGGCAGTGCTATCAAGCTTTCCGATCAAGAGCCACCACTCGATCATGGCCCGAGCTTTTCAAGGTAGCATTCTTGCCGACCACAAGCAGTTTGTAGTTGGCATCGTTAATGCATCCGTACATCGTCTTCGGGATTACGAAGACATACTGGCCGATTTGCCACAAGGACGAAGGCCTACAGAACTGTCAGAATCGGACCGGAAACAGGTCAGAATTGTGTCAGCCAAAAAGCAAGCATGTTGCTCAGTCTTGCGAGCTTTCTCTGAACTGGATTCTAGCCTCCTCCGCTCGCACTGTCAGTCATTGGCCCCAATCATCAAGGGGATGCTAGACGGGGTGATATCACATTCAGACCTAGGATGCGTCGACTGTGTGTTGCATATTCTTGAGCTAGCGGTTGGTGCACATGGGGATTGGGATGTTGAATTTTTGGAAGAGCTTATGCGTGATGTGGAGCATATCGTTTGTACGTCCCCAGTACAGATTGTAGAAGAGGCTGCAGTGCGCTGCTTGTGTGTCGTGACGCACAAGTCTGCTTCGGCCGAAGCATCAGAATCTCTGGAGCGCACCACAAGGAATTTCATGAGCTTCTTGAATTCTGAGAAGGACGCTATTGAAGAATCTGCAAGAGTGGCCATCACGGCCACCCAAAGTACTAACCTTCAGGAGTACGTTCAGCTCGCGGATATACCCCGCTTGTCGCCACTGGAAAAGAATTCGCGATGTGCCCTAGTCAGACTTGGGCTGTTGATTCGATTTGGAGACTTCGCTGAAGAGCTCGTCTCAGAAGCGTACGACACGATAGAGTCGATTTGTGATATGCTTTGCACATCATTCCCTAGTCATACGCTCGCGCGGTCATCCGTCAGGGCGCTCACTCATGTGCTAATTCGGCATCGAAGTCTCCTCGCGAAGGGGACGCGAGTTCTGGTATCGGCATTGGAAAATTCGAACCTCTCTGCTCCAGCCAATGGAAACTTTTCGAGTTCTGGAGATGGATTGGCGCTCTGTGTTCTGGAAGGCTTCCGTGAGCTGCTGCGAGATGAAGAAGAGCGCAATTCCAGAAGCAAGATTATTAAAGAGGAACAAAAGAAGACCAGCACAAAGGCAGCGAATCGAAAAGGGGAGAAGCCGAAATGCGCTGTTTCTGCAGAGCAAGAGTCCACGGCAATACGCGAAGACGTCCAGCAGCCTCAGCTGGGTGCCGAAGAAGACGCGGAGGCTGGGTATCTCGCGCTAAGCGCCCAGACTATGATTGCGCGGTTAGAGACAGCTGTGCACAGCGCGGCCCGCCCAGTCCGGCAGGTTGTTGCGCACATTCTTGGACTCCTGGTTCGACAGGGCCTTGTTCTTCCGGCCACAGTGATACCCAGCCTGTTTTGCTTACTCTTAGACGGAGACCCATCTTGCCGCGAGTTTTCTTATCGTGTGATTTCATTCTTGGCTGACCGTCATTCTGACATGCTCGCATCAGCTGCTCTACCCGGGCTTCGCCGCTGTTTCGAGTCATCCTTCGCTGTGCGATATGGTCGCCCACCCCTGGTAAAGGAGAGTGAGGTTCCAGGTGAGTCTCTTTACACAGTGGAGAGAATACTAAAAATGGCTGCGGATGAAAAGAGTGGACAATCGTTATTGTCTCAGGCGATCATGTCCATGCGAAAAGATAAACGCCGTGGTGTGTTGGAGAGTCTCATTCGCGAGTTCGATCCACGCATATCTGTACGCAAGAAATCATCGAAACGGACGAAAAACGAGGTTTTCGCGGTACACCGGGAAAACGGACTGTTTGAAGCATCAACGCTTGACACAGAGGTGGCTCCTCATGCAATATCTGAGGTGGATGATAAGGATGATGACGTCATTCCAGCTGAAACCGGTGAAATAGACATCACGATATCAGGAAGGCTTTGCTCGATACCGACTCTATACTTTTTTGCCGCAACTATGGCATCCATCGATTACACAGATGGAGCTGGAGTCGGGGGTTCACTTACGCAAGGAGGAGGAACGGCGGCAGCGGATTCGAAACTGAAGTATGCGAAAGAGGAAGTCAGTCACCTCGTAGGAGTTGCAACGAGAATTATCTCGAACAGCGGGCAAGCTACACTTCATGCGGCGGGCTATGTGAGACGACGTGAGTATCAGAATGGGCATGCTGCCTCTCTAGAAAAGAGAGACCTTGTTTTGCAAAGCGCTGCCCGGATCTCGTTGTTGTTGCTTTTGAAGAAGCATCTGAAGGTCACTCGGTTTATGCCAGTTGTAGACACAGTGGAAACGGATAGCATCGCTCAAGGGCCATATGGAATGCCACCTTTCCATCCAGTCGGTGCAATGCACCAAGCTTTTGTGGATGCCAATCGTGCTGGGTATGACAGTGCACAGGCAGATGCCCTTTTCAATTTATTCAGTACCTTAATGCGAGAAGACGCGATCGACGAAGCCGATGTCACCTTGGCTTCTCGAGTTGGAAGAGGTGCGCGCGGAAGTGCGAAAAGGGCAGTTACGAAACGCGTTCGCTCCAAACATGGAGAACGAGGAAATAGTGAACCGCGAAGGAAGAGACCTGGTCGCCAAGCCGCGCAAGATGCATCAAGGAAATTTCGCGTCGACTTAGACGAGTCTGAATGAACCCAGCATATGCCTTGTTGCATCAAAATCGAAGAGGATTATCTATGTCGCCGTTTTCAGACCTCACTGAAGTGTTTGTCCAGCTCCGTTTGGGATAGCATAACGCTTAAGGAATATGCCTCACTGCGGACACGTTAAGCAACAACATCCAAAGTGCTCCATGTGAATATATAAAAATAGGGCACGCCTTGGCCATTATTCATATCTCTGATTGCCGCTCTTGCCTCTCTCTGTTTTGTACATATTCCCTTCACTCTAGGCTTTTCTGAGATACGCCTACAGAGGTGTTTGCGAGGATCCGTCTTGCCAAGAACGGCAAAGTATTAAGAGGTCTTCGCTTCCTGTACGGGTGCATAAAAGCATAAACTGAACGCTGTTCATGCCCAAGACTTCACCAGCGAGTAGAGTGTGCTTTCAGTGGTGGTGATGTCGAGTGGAGTTTTTGAGTTCCTCCGTGCGAGTCATCTTTGTTTTTTTCTGCGGCGTGTTGTCGGTGATGATCACAAAGTTTTTTGCATTTCTCCAGATTACTAGAGTAAGCATTCGTTTACGGGCCAGTGCCCTTTGAGGTAATTGTTCGTTTTGCGATGTAGATTTAGTCGAGGATTTGGCTCACAATGCCTTCATAGTAAAAGGAGACGTACATGGTCCACACTGGAGCTTTCGTGTGTTTTTATAAACAAGCTCTGTATCAAGATGGTGGCAATTTGAAAGCAGATATCTGATAAATTACTCGTTATTGTCCGGATACGCGTATTATGTCGTCAGGTATAAGATAACCCTGTTGGTACATACAGTAGTGCGGGTTATTTGATATGCTGGCTTCCCTAGGCTACTGTCCAATAGCTATCCTATTTGAAGGAGCTATACAAGGGCCCGTGCGCTGTATCTCTTCGAATAAATAGGGATTCATTTCATAGAGGGATAATTAGTTGCTTCATTAACGCACACAGCAATCCCGGCATGTAAGAATGAATCTTGTTTCAGGCTTATGCATCTTTTTAGCACCGGCGAAATACAAGAACGTTGTCGTGATGCACAGTAACACAGATACCCCGAACTGGGGAAAACATATAGCGCATGTTCCGGTTTCAAAATAAGAAACAATGAATCGACATGCGTTGCTTTATTCACGATTGGTAAAAATAGTCGAAGAGGACCTGATGAGCTACACACATATTCACGTTGTTGGACACGGTGCCACACTTGCCGGAAGTACCCATTTTACAAATGTGTTTGCTATGGCCCCTCTACAATGTTAAGCTCAATAAAATTAGCCCTAGCCCCTCACAATAAAGAAGAAGAAGAAGCTCAATAAATATATAGATAGCTGGTAGTCAGTCTTATTGAACATAGAACGAAAATTATAATCCTTGCTTCTGCCATTCAAACAGACTCTTTCGTTCGCCTATTGCTTTTCTCCTATACAATATATACGTCCCTTGCAAATTGCAAGGGCACTGCATGACGAGATGCATCACATTTCAAATCCTGTCGCATCGACCTTTTGTTGCCGCAGAATCTGTTGACGGGAGGAGGGAGTTCATGGTGCAGTGGACAATACGTTGCTGATTCAATTGCCACTGCACCCCTGTAAAGCTTTTGATAGACGTAGTTGAAACCGCGACGATGAAAGCTGATAAAAACCCAATTTAATCTGAAATTGAACGGACTCATCAAACTCCCCAGCAAAACGACACGGTCGAAGGTACATTTCATTCTTACCGATATTACCTCACAGTAGTGTCTCCACAGGCAGGTTCGGGATTTGCATAACAGGTATGAGACGTGAAGGGTTTGAAACGTGAAAGATGAGACGATCTGCCGTGGGAAAACTATTTCAGCTATAACTGGAGGAATCCACAATCGAGGCATTAGACTGTTAGAATAATATTTCACGCTAAGGCAAGAAATATAGAATGTCGCACTTTCCCAGTAACATGCATTTTTATGGACCATAGAAAACAAGAGCCTTACTGCAACAACACGACAACTTCGTTTGCCGTTGCGAACTGTGCTGCAATTTATACTGAACTCTCAGGCCGTGATGATCTTGTAAACGGCTACATGCCAAACGACTCTTACTCTCCAGATGATATTCCTCCGGCCCCCTGACCACTGTCGTTTCCAAATCAGAATGTTACTTTGGTAGGAAGGCTGTCACAAGCTTTACCAGCTGCTCGGGTGCCTCTTCAGGGATAAAGTGCCCTGAATCTATAGAATGCCCGGAAACATTCTTTGCCAGATCTTGCATCATAAAAAAAACGTAAGGCTCTGGCGACAGAATGCTTCCAGTCAATGCTAGAACTGGAAGGGTGAGTTTCTCCCGCTCGGCGAATTCTTTGTTGTCCTCTGCATCTTGGGCGAACGCGCGATACCACTCGAAACCAGCGTGGGCCGTCGATGGCACGCTGTATGCATTGACCGAAACTCGAATTTCTTGTGGCGTGAGAGCATCAGGTCCGCCAGACAACTCCCGCATGAATTTCGAGTAGAAGAAACTTTCACGTCCGGTTGTAAGTGCTTCCGGAAATTCTTTCGCAGCGTTGAAGCCAAAGTGCCATGCCCGAGGATCCACGTTTACTTGATCAAAGGCGGGAGTTCCAGGCAATGGAACATCAATTATTGTGAGGCTGAGAGCTCTTTTCGGATACTGCACCGCAAAGGCGTAGGACACCATCCCACCGATGTCATGACCCACAAGATGGACTTTTCGTAGATTCAAGGAATTTAGAAGTGCCCGAATGTCTCGAGCCATGATTGCCTTGGTATACCCCGTCGATGGAGCATTGGAAGGCGACACACCGCGCAAATTGACGGCAATCACATCATATGATGAGGGGAAAAGCCGCATGACACGGTACCACGAGGCCCAGTTCTGAGGCCATCCATGAAGCAGAACAACTGTGGGACCAGTAGCGTTGTCGCGACGAACATAGTAGAGATTCACAGAAGCATCCTTCTGCAAGTAGGAAGTGTAGCCAGGTGGAATACTGTCGGGGGTATCTACAGTGCAAGTTGCAGTCGCGTCAACAATCGCTAGGTAGAGAGTGACGGCAACCAAGACATGAGATTTCCAGAAGCTAGCAGATGATCGGCAAGACATATTGAGGATAAGTTAACCGGGGATGAAGCGCTTTGCTGAGCCGCTCTCCCTGTTAGTTTGATGAAGTTGTATTGACGCGTCCAAACTAATATTGACGACTCTTCCTGCGAAGCGAATTCATAGCTCTAAATGAAGACTTAGGAGATGACTTGAACCTCGGGAGAATTGTTTACACTTGTATAATACTCTCTAGTACACTCAACAGGTGATCTGTGGATTATAGCGTGTGATGTCCGTTCCGTGGCATCGCTACGTCGGATTTCTGTTCTGTATACTGACTTACCGTAGCACATGAGGTACGCAGATCTGACGCTACCAGACCCACTGCAGTGTGCCCTCTGTCCCCTCAAAAGTCTTAGGTCTACGATACAGCAGTTGCGCTGAGGTTTTCTGAGTGCGAAATATTCAATGTAACGAGTTGATGAAAGCGTTGATTGGTGGAAGGTGCATCTCTGGCAACAATTGGGGCTCGGATGCGTCCTTCGCTTCAGCTCTTTCGTGTGCATTGTTTCCATACGATAGATACCACACAGTCCATTCACATACTTGGGCATCATTGGATGCGAAGTGCGTCATTTTGTAGTAATCCATCCGCTTATGCGCCATACAAAACATACAGGATTTCAACCCGGCGAAGCAGTCGCATGTTTGAGGAACCACTCTGCAGGACACCAACTTCTTTCACTGCTATGATTGTTCCAATACCCACATTTCGACCAAAGTTTCACATGAAATTGATTGCGCACAACGGCGCGCAATTGCGGCCTGGATCAGGACCTCGGTGAGACACAACGGTCCGGCAAACACACACAAGCGCCCCGATCCACGTCATTGGTACGGTAATTCCGCCGGCGGTGATCGGGGTGATCGTCGCACTGCTTTTCCAATAGATATAATAGAGAGATTACGCAAGCAAAATTCTGCTTGGAAATTGTGAGGAATTCATGACACGAGTTACACGTGGGGCGGTGAGCAGAATTCTGGCTGAGAGACGTGAGAAATAAAGCAGAAAAATGACCCATTAGTCACCACTTCAATCGCGCCAAATGGAACATTTCAGGACAGATGTCCAGGAGATGAAACCATACGGCGGACGTTTTCCCGCGATCTTCAGACATGGAACGGCGCTCTCATCCCACTCTCCCTCTCTCTCACTCTCCCTCTCTCCCTCTCTACCTTCCTTCCATCCACTATAACTATTCCCTTTCAACGATCCTGCCCACACTCATTGAAACCAATATGGCCAACGTTTTGACTCTCTCTGACGAAGAACTCGCCGCTGCCGCTTGCAGAGGAAAGCGCCATTCCCGCTTTACAAGTGAAGAAGATCTTGTAATCGTCCGAGAAGTTGCAGCATCACGTGAACATCTCGTCGCGTTCGGAGAGTCCCGCAAGAGATTCGAGATCGCTTCTGACACAATAAACGGCAATGAGGCAGTAACGCAGCAAGTCACTTGGAAAAGCGTCCGGGACCGCTATCAACGTCTACAGAATTCCTTCGATCGCGACGATAGCAAGAACCAAAAAATGTCGGGGATAGTGGGGAAGTTGGAGAGCTAGAAGAACTACTGATGAGCATGCGCGATGCTCGGGATGATAATTTAGAGCAACGAAACGCTGTAAAAAACGCTCGAAAGGAGCGTGATGCAGAAAAAGAACGGATTGGAAATGATCTCATGAATTCGGCCATGCAGCATGCTGGAAACAGGGACAGTACTGAAGATGAAGACTCTATTTCTCCGCGGCCCCTTAAGAAGTCCAAAACCTCAAAATCGAGTATTGCAATGGGCGAGATGGCACAGTTCGGAGCCCATCTACGCGATGCCGATCTCGCTCGAGTGGACTTGGAGCGCGATCGGCTGGCATTTGAGCGAGAGAGGATGGCGCGATCGTGAGGAGCGCACTCGGGATTTTGAAGAACGTCGCATTGAGCGTTCGGAAGCGCAACAGCTCGAGCTGGACAAGTTCAAGCTCATGATGGCGGCTTTTACGAGCCAGTAATGATAGTCATGTTTTATTGCTTTGAAGTCGGTGTTACTAAATAAAATTTGCGTCTTTGTTGTGTTAGCACAAAAATTTCTGCTCGCGAAGGGCGCACGCGAGCAGGAGTCTGTCGTTTCATAGGATAGCGGTTTATTCCTTATGGTGGATGTACTGCTCTACAGAAGGAGGAGAACAGCGAAAGAATTGGGAAATCTGCATTGGACTTGCACAGTTTCTAATGTTGTGAAGTAGCATTGCACACAGGTAGAGCAGGCCGACTGGTGACTGTCCAATCCTTAATTTTCTTTTGAAGTCCATGGCTGTAAAGTAAAGTTTCACTTCTTTGAACGCCCACTCGACAGTAATCCGAACGCTTGACATGGCCTTATTGAAGGCTCTTTGAGATGCTGAGAGATTGCTTCCTTGATAAGGAACCTCCAAAAACCACCTCTTGGCGTACCCGCTATCTCCGTAGATACAGAAATTTTGATGTTCTGAGCTCATACAATCTGGTAGCTCTTGCTCTAAATTGCTTCTTGTGTACAAAGTCCAATCATGTCGACGGCCCTCTACAGGACCGCAGACATGCAAAATCAATCCATCTGGAGCTGTGACCGCTTGAAACTTGATTGCGTGCTTCCTTTTGTGTCCATTGTACATCACTAGTTGCTTGCTAAATCTCCCCGGTCTGGCAACACCAATCACTGTACCGTCAATAAAACCGACGCAATTCCTTAGTGCATTGGACTTTTCGAATATGCATTTGGAATACAAAGTACGTCGGCGTTCCATAAATGATTGCGGAAATGGCCCCGTGAGGAAATGCATCCGCTCCTCTGCAAAGCATTCTATTGTTTCCCAAAATATTTCACAAAGCTGGGAAGAATGCTTTCCAAACTCTACTTCCAGCTCTTTCCATCGAAGCGGCGTTGCAAGGCGCCGCAGCATAATGCATGTCGACAAAATTGGATTTGTCCTATAGCGATTGCGGGTCGTTTTCGTTTTGTGCGTTGGCCATCCAATAAAAGGAACAAGATTCAGGATATCAGACCTTCCAAATCTGAACAGGAAGAGACATGACGCCTGACTATAGGAGTTGAAGTTGAACATAAAGTCTGCAGAGCTGATGCGGTTACTCCTAGAAAGGTGTTTGGACAATTCTTCTCTTGCATCTTGGTATTTGAGTGCAGTATATGATATCGTTACAGGATTGGTGAAAGCTGATGTATGTCCTGACATGCACTTTACGCTCATGGATACCAAGGCAACTTGCCATGTTTTCAAAGTCTCCTTAGTCTTTGCTTTGGTAAAATCCCTTTGCCTACCAGATCCCATAGTGTGAGTGTCCAAAGGAGAACGAGATTCTCTAGGCTATGGGAACTCGTACTCACAATGAACGATGCCGAGGGGATTGCGTAATTTACGTTTTTCTAATTTTCTGCAATAGAATTCTGTCCGCAAATCACGCATACAGTAGACTGGGCTATCCTTGCTGTCGGAAGGTTAGACAGAATTCCGTTTTTGCGTAATTCCACGAATGCGGCTAATTTCATGCGAAACTTTGGTCGAAATGTGGGTATTTACTTTATACATACGCCGCTCCACTCCTCCCACTTCTTCCACCACTCCTCCCAAACCCCTCCTTTACTTGCTACTTCTCCCCACATTGTTACCCTATCATACCTCTTTCCTCCCCCTCAATTGATACTCTGTAACTTTCCTAGTTCTTTACGGATTGTGCATAGTGTTTGCGTTTGACCAAGTGCGGGGTTGCCTGCGCATGCTTTTGTCATGTTCAATATCTCTTTTGTACTTCTTAAAATTCCTCAGCACAGTGCCGTTGACATACATGATTTGCTTACTGCCGGTTGTAGTTTCAGACAGACTTGAGATATGTTCTGTCATCCACACACAGACCTCTTTTGCCTCGCGTGCGGCTTCAGCAGTGTTCTTCATCAAACTTTCTCTCGAGTCTGCAAAGAATTCATTGCTGAGAATGTTCGCTATGCTATTGTCGTTTATGCACAGCTGAGGAGGAGCTGCATGATTCTGATGACGTTGCAGCGCCCCCTCAAGCTTTGGAATGAACCTGTTTGGCTCTCTTTGTATCTCCAGGAAAGGAGGGTGCCGCCTTCGGATTATGTCACGATAAACAGGCACATCTGCCCCAGCAACTAGATGCTTGCACAGTAGAAAGGGGCTTCGAAGATAAGCCGGGCATGAGCATGTCCACGTGTCCTTGTCCACGATATAAATCCCTCGAATTGTCGTTGTGGCACATCTCTTCCATTCCTCGACAAATTCTCGCCACCAACTGGGCTTCTTCCTTCCATTCATCAGAAGATGGTAGTCCGATGTATACTTGCTCAATAGCTTACTGTCAAGAACATAAAGCAAAAGATCTACTATGGAGCGGTTGTATGGCAATAAATAAAGGCGCTTCAGAAGTGACCAGTGCGACTCGCACATCATAGTTGTCTTCAAAAGGGGTATCAGGGAAGCATTTCTACGACCCTAACAAAAGAATATGTTATCATCATACCAATTCCGTAGCAGATAATCCTTCAGGGTGCTTTCTGTTTCAGACGAGAAGAAGGCGTGGAGCTCATCTTTGGCTTTCTCTTTTGCAAAAAGCATGGAGAAGTGCTTGTCAAAAAAAGGATGCCGATTAAAGTGCAGGGTAATCAGGTCCATCAGCGCTTGCTCCTTTTCCTTCGAAAGGACGCTTTTATTTTCTTTTCTCAGTCCCGATATCTTCTGCTTAATTGCCCTTTTCAAATGCCAAAGGCACAGAGACTGGTTAATACCATACACACGCTTGATAGCGTCAAGCTGCCCGGAATTTTTGTCCGAAAAAAAGAACAGAGGACGGAAAGAGTTCAAGGTTCTATGCATAGCCTTGAAGACACCCAAAATTGTGTCTTTTCGTCTTACGTTTTGTCCATGTTTGCCCCCTCCTTCGACGAAAAAGTAAATTAACGGAAACCCAGTACCAAGCACAGTACCTAACATGACAA